TAACTCCTTTCTTCTTTCTAAGTGACAAAAAGGAATACCTTGAAACACTCATTTTGGCATGTACAAGTTTTCTGAGGGGGAACTTGGCAGTGTTCACAACACACATTGAAGTGCCTGCTAAGAAAAAGCTAAAGATACACCCTGCAGTTAAGAGAAGCTCTTGCCTTAAGCTCATCTTAGCATCAAGAACAAAAAGATTGTAACATAAAGCTTTGGCCATGTTGATTCTACTATATACATTCTAAAAACTACACGGTCATAAATTAAAGCAGTGATTAAATAAGCTCATATAAAATGTAATTAAATTAAAAAAATCACAGCACATTATAGAGAAAAATAGGAACCAGTTTCACAAGAAAGATTATATATATATATATATATATATTTTTTTTTTTACCCTGTGGAAACAAATTTACTACGAAACACAAAAACTTCATAAGTAACCATCAAAATGAAAAGCATTTCTTATTCCATTCTTGCATTTTTACATAACCCTTAACCCACCTGGGGAACATTTCCAGAAATTAAGTCTTCCTTGAGCAACAGAGCAGTTCTGCCAAGAAAATAAACCCCAAACCGAAGGGGGAGGGGGCGGACATCCCAAACATACAAACTACAAAATAAATAGGAATTATAAAGTTTCTTTTAAAAGTAACCTTAACAATTATCAAACTAGTAAGTTCTGCCTTATCACATAGACTCTCTATACAACATAACCCTAAAACTTTATTACTATGAGGTATTTGGAGGAATTGGTAAAAGTGATGCACGGCCTGCCTGGTGAAGGGACTCGGTGAAGTGGGGGGACCTTGAGAGGGAACAAGGAGGAGGAGCTTTGGTTTATCAGCAAGAAATTGGGGGGAAAAAGTCATCCTTTGGTATCAAAGAAAGTTTCATTGCATGGTTGCACGGAAAAAGCACCACGGTGAATAATTATTCCTTTTTTTTTTTTCATTAGTGGCCTTTCTAAGAGGCTGAGGTATTCAAAGAGTATAAGGTGAGAGAGGTCAACAGCGGTTTAACACTTTGGTTCAAGCAAGGCACTCGTCCTAGGAGTTTACAAAGTTTGCAACATATTTGCCTAGAGATTTACAAGTAGAACTAGCAGTAATAAGAGTAGTATTTCCTAATGTTGTTGTTGTCCTATCATTATCAATAAGAATGAAGACAAGTTTACACACTGAGTGAAGAGTGAGGAGGGACGAGGAGGTGGGAGGAGGGTTAGGACAGGGGCAGAGTTCCCTCTGCAGACCGAGGCCGTGCATGAAAATATCTTTGGTATTCTTTGGTATCATATCAATGTGATTAAAATCACCAATGGAAATCGAGTGAGGTAGCGTCTTTGGTTCACACTATAAATAGTAGATCTTTACACTTTTTTTTTTTACATGTGGAAGTAGCTATTTCTTACCTTCTGCTTCTTTGTCCTTCCTGTTCAGGAAATAGTTACCAAATGCACTGTAAAGCTAACCACACCACAAGAATAATCCAGAAGGCCAATCGCATCTCAAAACAGCTTCTGGTGTTTGAATGCACTCTAAACACCTAGATAGGAAAGGGAGAAGTGCTTTCTCTTTGTTTGCTAAATGCATAGTTTTCATCCTTTATGTACAAAGAAGGGAGGGCCATTGTTAGGGAAAATGCCTTTATAGCTCATGTGAAAATGTCCTAGGACTCTTTGGTATAGCAAAGTTTGCATTTAACCTGCAAAGACGGGTCTTTCACCTGGGGTAGCAATGGGAGTGGCATGAGTCCAAAAGTAGCTTAGCACTTTTACTTTTTTTTCCCTGGAAAATTAATTATACTTTGGTGGTGGGGGCAGAGTGAGTGACATGTTCAGTCAGAACTTCTGAATTTTCCCATATATTTTCTTTGGTTTTTGCATCCAGGGACTGGAACACTCAGTTCCTGACATCCAGAATTCTTTCACCTGAACATTAACTGAAGTCTGGCTTTTAGGGTGTCCAGATGTGACACGTCCCACACTTTCTCTTGGCCCCCTTTCAGGGAAGCTTCCGGTTGTGAGAGGACCTGAATGATTTATGGCCAAAAATAGTCTAACTTCCATTCTACCAAAAAACCCCAAAACATGTTATTTGAAGTGCAGTTCTGAAATAAACGAACATGCAATAAAAGGGTGAGATATCTTTCTTAGATGAATTTTTCTGAAGAATTGAGAAATGATGGGTGAACAAATGGCACATGATCTGCTCAGCTGTGATAGGTTAAAAAACCTGAGCCATAAATTAATGTTATAGTAAACAGGAATGGAAGCATTTTTTCTCTACGTGCCAAATCAGAAGCAAAACAGAATCACTCATACAAGATAGAATAAGTGTATTGCTTTGGAGAAGCTGAGTTTGTCCATTATGTCTAAGAAGCAGAGGTCGTGAGGATGTTTAAACAGTCATGTAAAAAAATTGCTTTTCAGGCTCTGATTTGTGCATCTGTTTATGAGAAAATATATCTCTAGGCCCTGAAATTGCATAATGGGTGCAAATTCAATGCTGGTATGAAAATTATCTTTGGTGTTAGCAAGTAGAATCACTGTTATTTTTCAAGAAAGCATTATGGTGAGAATATTAAAAATGTAATATTCTTTGAGACTGTGTCTACGCAGTACCAAAATAATTAGTCGAAAATGTAAAATGCAGTTAGATTAATTTGAGGGAGTATGTAGTAAAAACAAAACAAAAAGCATGGTTGTCTGAATTCAACTTTGTTTCTTCCTGGGGCATTGAATTTGTTAAGATGTGTGTAGACACAGCTTGAATTTCCCTGCATTTAAAATTCTCATGTTTTAAATAAATAAGGCTTTCCTCTCTCCTGAATTACAAATACATTATATAGCTGTCCTCCTGGCTCCCTCTACTCTTGGAGAGAGAGAAAAAAGTTAATTGGTTTTTTCCTTTTAGTTTATGTCATTGACACATTTAAATTACTAATGAATCTTGGAGGGTAGCCATTTAAATGGTGTCTTTTAATAGCTGAATTATAATTGTGCCATATTTAGAAGGGAAAATTTTAAGCTGAAATTTGGGGTGAGATAAAAAAAATACTAAGACAATATGTCAAGGCAAATGCGCCGTTTTGTTAAAGGGGAAGTATGTGTTGTTTTTCTTTTCTCATTCTATAGCAGACATGAAGGAGACACAGATGGCTGGTTGGTTTTGCTCATCTCTCCAGGTGCCTGCCTCTTTTAGACCTAGACAAGATGCTGAGATTTGATCCTGAGGAGTTAGTTAATTTTTTTTCTTCAGCATTTTAATGAATCTCAATAAACAACTTATTGTTGAGATAATGTTTAATTTTATATTTCTCGTTAGGTGTGCTAATTAACCAAGAGTACCCAGTTCTTTACTTAATAGTACAAAAGACATCCACTTATATGAGTTACAATTCAATTGAATTCAGAGAGAATTTGGGGTGGGGGGAGATCATGTGATTCACTTGGGTACTACTAGTACAACTGTATTATCTTAAAAAAAATTTTTTTTTGCCTTAATTTCTACAGTCCTGGTTAAGTGATTTGGGAAAATAGAAATTTAAATTTTTTAATTTGGAGGTTCAGGTCTAGGTTTCATCTGTCCCTGTTAGAGAGTGGAATCTATGTTATAAAATTTTCAGCTTAACACAATAGCAAGAAAGAATGTAGCAAGCTTTGGAGGCTATGCTTAATGAAATAAATAGCATAAGACCTACAGAACCCAAGTCTTGTCTTCCACCAGAACTCTGGCTTTTTCTATCTTCCACCATTTCTTGGTTGCACCTGCTATTTTTGTTGATGTCCAAGTCATAAAATGTTTGGGATTAGCCATAAATCAGTTTGCTTATATTTTTAGAATGATCACAAATATTGGATAGTTTATGTTAATAACAATGTTGGTCTGCTCACTCTGTGTGTCTGTAAAGTATTTTTAAAAAGTATTTGGTGTCAAACGCGTAAAGCAAATTTGTCAAATTAATCTAAGTATGGAGTCCTTTATTCAGTGGTCTTTTACTAAAAAGCATTACTTTGAACGAATTTTCTAATTTAGTTACCTGCCCTGTTAAACTTAGTTTTCTAGTTTACAAATGGAAATCCTACTTTGGAAGAAGCCCCGGGTTTTTCTCAGCTATGAAAAGATTCTGGAATCATGTCTATGTGTCTACTTAAGTGACATTTATGGATCCCTAAAGGGAGTGTGCCATCTGGATGTACATGTATATGCACTGACCTCTCTGTTATGATATTAATTGCTTCCCTGAAGCTACATTCTTTCTTGCCAGTTCTGAAAACTAATATGTCAAATGCTTCAAGAGTTATAAATAATAGTCATGATTCTACATGGCATGTGTATTACGGCTAGATCAGTTCATACGTATAACTTTACATAGTATCTTGTGTAAAAATAGCTTTGGTTATTAAAATCATTGCAATAAAATACCTGCACTATAATATTAAGTGTGTTCTTTGGTACCTAGGTGATTTTTTTTTTTTTAATGGATGGACTCTTGTTTCATTTCTTAAAAAATATCTGAACATTCCTTAACAAACAAAGAGAATGCACTGGTTTAGGTGTCATTCAAATTTTCTTCGCTGGGTTTGAATCTGCATTTAGGTTGCGGGCCTGGCAGGTTCAAACGCTAGGCTAGACGAGCAAAATCACACTCCTAATCCAATGAACTCAGACAACCCCATACTGTGTTGGTCGTACTCCTACAGCACAACCCTTCCTGAAGACCAGCCCTGCCTAAGTCCCTAACCACTGGTGGTGTGTGTGCATGTGTGTGTGTGTGTGTGTGTGCATGTATGTGTGTGTGTATGTGCACCCACGCACCCACACACAGTACTGAGACACCATACACCTTCGTGGCACAGTGGAACAGATGAGAAAGTCCGATCTTAAAAGATGTCCACTCAGTGGCTCAAAATCACTATGCTCCAAACCACAAATTAGCCAAGCACAGCGAGAATGATCATGGATTGAAGGTGTGAGATCCAGCGGTGTTTTCCTGCTCATAATTTTTCTTGCCAAGTCGTTGCCCCGCTGAAGTGTGTGTCTCTGAACAAAGTCAGAATGCAGGTGAGCTAAGTCTTTGGTTTCTTTGGACTATAAATAACACTTTTTTTTTTCTTCAAATATTTCTAAGTATAAACCTGCTATCTTGAGGTCCTGGTCTTTTAAAAATTTGTTTTTTTGTTTTGTTTTGTTTTTTTTGTTGTTGTTGTTTTTTGTTTTTTTGTTTTTTTTTTTTGTTTGTTTTTTAATTTAAAGCTTTTCCACCGAGGTTTTAGTTCGTGGTATTCCTTCATGCTTTGGTACAAGTGCTTGATGAAGAAGATGAGGTGCCTGAATTGGAGCTGCCCTCGTCCTGCCACTTGTCCAGACTCCTCCTCCTGGCATTCATGAAGAAGTTGCTGACGGTGCTCAGCTCCAAGCCCAGCTGCTGGGAAATGGTGATTTGCAATTCTTTGGATGGACGCTTGTTTTCCTTGAATATTGCATGTAGAGTTCGACGCTGGACATCTGTGAAGACCAACCTGGGCTTTTTGGGTGTGTTGCCTCTATCCTTGCCGTGTTCTTGCTCTTTCCTTTTGCATGCTGCAAAGAAACACAGAGGCTGTTAACAAACTGCCGGGGAGAATCGAGAGTGGAAAGGCAGAGCCGATTAAATTTGTTAGCCATTCCTCGTGCCTGCTTTCTGTCTGGTGATCTCTGATTTTAGCACCATGGTGGGCTGGGAGGGAACTGTAACAAAAGGATGGAGAATTAGGAGGCAGAGTTGTGGGAGTCCTGGGTGTGAGTCCGAGCTTTGACAAGTATCTGCATTTTGTCCAAGGTAAAGCAACTATAACCCTGCCCGGGCCTCAGAGTCCTCATCTGCAGAATACAGGATTCTGGCTAAACAAACTTTTGGTTTGAATTTTTACATCACTATCTGCAAAATGGATAGACGAATACCTACCTGGTTGGGTTGTTGTAAGGATATATGGAATAGTATACGTAAAAGTTTATGTTAACTGAAGTGCTTTACAAATGCAAAGTCTGATCAGCGATGAGTGGTTGCAGCCCTTGAAGGGTTTACAGTCTGCTGCTAGTTGAACACTAAGAGCCTAATCGAGAGTCTAAAAACCAAATAAAAAGAAATTACATTAGTTTCCTTTCTGATCTTCTTTGTTTTCCAGGAAACGCTGTTTGTAAGAAAACTGTATGTAATGTCTCACCTTGCTCATTCTTCAGTGGAACCAGGACTTGTGGAGACTTGAAGGCTGCCTCCTCGCCATTGGGGCTAAACCTGTCACATTAGGCATGTTCACCTTTGGGGTCTCTCTGTGCCACCTTTTTGCTTTTTATGAAAGACTTGCTCTTGGAGTCCCCTTCTGCACTTACCTCGTCTCCCACGGAGAAGGGCCCTTCCCTGCCCATGTCTCTTGGTCCTGTATCATGAAGCTGCCTCTTGGCTGCTGGAGCTATACTGGAGCATCATCCCAAAGTGGCCCTCAGGCCCCCAGGGTTTGGTACTGGATCAGGGTCTTTCCTCATCTCAGATGCTATACTCCTCCTCCTAGCCTAATGCATCTCACTGGCTTCCATCTGCCAAAGAGGCACTAAGGGCTGCAATGCTAACAATGCCCTTCCCTCACTCTCCATTTCCACCATCAATCAATCCCTACAGCCATTCCTCCCCAAATAACTGTACAACCCAAGTAAATATAGTGCTTTGGTTAAACAGTTGCTAATGCAACTTTATGACCAGGCTCCTATGCCCTGATTCCAATCAGACTGCTTCCCCTCAGCCCCCTACTTAGGCATCCTGGAGCAGCCACTGCTCTCTTAGTATCTGGCTGGCTGTACTCTGACATGAGCTCCAACCACAGTGAGAGGCAGGTGGGGCATCTTCCTGGTAAAGGTAGGGACTGCTGATCTTTCATAGCTCCCCAGACCTCTGGTTGGCAGTCCCACCCTCTTGCTGTCTCCTGCTCTACTCCCTGCCTCTTTATACTCCGGGTTCTCAATTCCTTATGAGATAGTTCACCAGCTCTGGCTAGATGCAGCCTCTGTGCTCTCCCCAGGTAGCCCTGCTCCCTGACCAGCCCCTACCTTTCATTCCTAACTTCTCCAGATCCTGGATTTCAGAATTCCCCTAAGGCCTTAAGTGCCCATCGGCACAAATTAGCGGAGCAATCAGATCAACTGAAAAGCTAATAGATGAAGGCTAAAGAAGCCTCTAGTCTTTGGAGTCTAATCTAGGGGTCTCTAAGTTTTTTTAACCATGTGCTACTTAGTAAAAAACATTTTGTGTGTAAACTCCCTAATACTATTTATTTATAAATTATATACGTTACTGCACTACTATATTATGTACATTATAAAGCATATACAAAATATAGAAAAATTTAAAGGGGTAAAATAAAAATAAATATACATAGAAAGCCTCTTCTACAGATGCATCAGCTTGCCCAGGCCCTAGAGTGCATTCACCCCACTCAAAAGACCACTAGTCCAATCATTAGGAAATACAAGGGTAAGAATTTTCAGAATGGACATGAGGGGAGACCTCAGTCATAAGAGAGAAATTTTTGACAAGTCAGGCTATATAGTACCTTTCAAAACACATCCTGTAGGTCACTGGCTACATCACTTGCCCAACATGAGAGGGCGGCATCAACATAATGAGAAGTATTTATTAAACATCCAATTCTCTCAGAGTATTGAGCAATTTATCCCAAACTAGTTGAGAGTCCCTAGAAAGAGTCCCTTCCCCCAGGGACCTACAGCCCTCACTGGTAGCTAGATGAAGTCCCTGAAAAAAAAGAACTAACTAGACTGAAACCTACTCTAGTTACTTTGAGTCAGCGCATATAGATACAGATTTATACAATACCAATGTACGTGGTTGATTGATTCATTCATATCCAAAATAAATACAACACAGACTTTGCTCTTAAGGAGGTCAGTTGAGTGGTCACATAAACAAATAACTGCAAGAGTATAAAAAGAGTATACAGGATACTACCTCTGCTTGAGGATCTTAAGGAAGGCATCGCAGAGGAGGGGGTTCTTACGCTGGGCCCTAAAAGATGAATAGGAGTTTGTTAGTGAGAGAAGTGGAACACACTCATACTCAGCAGGGGCAGCAGCATTTGCGAAGGATTGATAAGTATTAGTAGATTGGTATTAGTAGAGTAAGTGTGCATGCAAGGAGGAAAGCTGTGGGAGACAAGGCTTCACAGATAGAGATCAGAATTGAATTATCTTGTAGATAAGGAGGAGTTATTGAAAGGTTTTGAATAAGAGTGTAGTGTGATTAAATTTGGATTTAGATAAACCCCTCTGGTGGTATTTTGGGGGATGAACTGGAAAGCAGTAAGATTAGGGATAAGGATGCCATGATATACCATCCTGCTCCCCCTCAAGACTAAGGCACTCATTCCTCCACCTGCTGGAGAAGTTGGTGGCTGATGACTTTCAGCTGAGGTCCATTCTGGGAACTGCTCTTGGCCAAAGATTATGCCACCCTTGGGTTGAGTAGGCGGGCTGCCCACATCCAGTGAGGGGTCAGGGGAAATAGGGGTTAGTATGGAGGGCAGAAGTTGAAAAGAATAGGAATGTGTTGGCCTAAGTGCCCCTCACCCCGACCCCTTGCATTAAATTGGGACGACTCTGAAGTATCATCCTGTTCTAGACCACCCTGTAAGACTGGCTGAGGCTATTCTTGCAATGACATTGAAGTTCAACTTCTCCCTCTGCTTGGTTTTATCTCCTCCACCTCTCTTCTTCCTACAGGGGTTATTTCCTATAGCTTTCTCCAGTAACCTTCCTGCATGCAATTCACAGAAACCCAGAGTCTGTTTCCCAGAAATCTTGACCTAAAATAGGAGCCATTAGAAAACCACTGTAGTGAGGACCCCAAATTAGACAATGGCAGTTGAAGGTAGAAAACAGGGAGCAAATTCAAGAGCTTCTTGGAAGATAGAATCAAGAGGATTTAATGGCAACTTGGCTGGGAGGTAGAGTACAGAACATCTTCCAGGTTTCTGGTTGGATAGCAGCAATGGGGCCATCAGAAAATGCGGATGGAGAAATGAATTCTATGAGGGCAGCAATTGCTTTTATGTAGGACAAATTACACTTGAAGTGCTTGTTGGACATTCTGTTAAAGATCTCCAATAGGTGGTTGTTCAGCAGACAGCAGGATATATGGGGTCTGTAGCTCAGGGGAGAGGTGTGATCTAGGAATATAGGCTAGGAAGTCATTAGGGCTCTAGATGGTAAATTACACAAAACACATACCTGTGAAAAAGTAAACAACTGAGTGTCGAGAGCAGACACAACTTATTTATAACTCGAAAGGCAGAGTAAAGTGAAATTACAAAGAGATATCCTTTGACAACATAACCAGGATGTATATATAAATGACTTCAATCTGGTCCTTGTCATTTGGCAGGACTGAGTGGGCTGAAAGTATCCCTGAGCCAGCATTTCCCAAATGGCATCAGAGGAATAACATTATCTTAAACAGGTGTTTCCTGAAAAGATGGTTTGCAGGTCAAGTACATTTAGAAGAACCTACTATATATAGCCTCCTCCTTGAAATTCATAATATGTGTTAGCACATGTAATTCTGTTTCTCAAATTTAATTAACCCCAGAACCCTTTCTGGTGGCGACTGCCTATTAATGTTTCATACACTACTAATGTTGGGGGAACGGTTTGGAAGTTCCTGCCCAGAGCTCTCGAGCATTGTAAATGTCACAATGTCAGAACCTGGGAAGTGAGATTCTCCAGAGCAGAGAGCCTGGATGATTCGTTCTATGTTCCAATGCCTTCCGGCATAGTGCCTGGCTAAAAGGGCAGCTCAGTACCCACGTGGGTACTAGAGCGGGTGTCTGTAACTAAATGCATGTGATGTATCTGGAGAGAACTCTGTGCAGAAGTTAGAGTTGCTGAAAAGAAAGCAGAGATATTGGTAGAATAGAGCACGTACTAAAGCTTTTTGAGGGTCACTGGTGACCTCCGCAAGAAGGCTAGGAGAAGGAACCCACAGAAATTAAATCATACATCTAGAAGCTCGTACAGAACTATTGTCATTAGTACTGTTAAGAGACTATGAATGAAAGAAATGCTTTAGAATTTCCATGGAATTTATTTCAGGGTACAGATGACCTGTTATAAGGTAGGAAACCACCAGCTGGAGGTCATGGGAATCCACACAGTGTACAAGGTAGAGAAAGAGGGAGAAAGGGAGCGCGAGTAGAACATGGCAAGAGGTACTGCTGCTTAGGGAACAGCAACACATGTGTTTTATGTAAAAGTCATACTTTTGTGTGAGTATAAAGTTTCCATGAAAAATAGACACGTATTTATCATGGAACCGGATTAAAGGGAAGAGGATTCCTATTATTTGTGAAAGGCAGCACTGAAGAGGAAGATGACCTGTCATGTGTAACCTCCATGAAGGTGGGCAAGCGGATATATTTGCAGGATGCAGTGGCAAAGTAAAGTGGGGGCTGTCTGAGACAGGTGACGGTGACCTTCTCTATGGGTAAGGTCACTCACAGTGAGTCCATGTGGGAGGCTGAAGTAGCATGGAAGATGGTAAAAAGCATGTGTGCCACAAGAGTAAAAGATTATAAAGAGTTTAAAAAATGGCAGCACAGGAGGACAAGGGCAAAGGACAAAGGCTTTCATTTCAATCATGCCTGGGGCCTGTGCTTTGCCCATTGTTGGCAAGACAAAGCCAAGGGTATTTCAAGAAATATAAATTCCGCAGGATGTTGAAAAGTATTCCATAAACAATGAGTTTTTGAGGTCAGTTTGGGAAAGGCTGAGTTAATTAATGATTAAACAAGCTTCTTTAATGTAGGACTTCTCAGAGTCTTTAATATGCTAATGAGCACTGAAACTTTCTAGCTCATGGAGTCTCCCAAACTTATTTGGTTAAGGAACTCTTTACTCAGGGAATTTCTCTCAGGAATGGCATTGATTAGGACAGTGTTTCTCAAAATATGCGTGGCCGACCTATGCTGGTCTATGAACTGTTACCTGTAGCAAGATTAGTAAAGGAAATTGAGATAAGCGATTAGAAATTTTGTGGTAGTTTGACATTGCCGTGACATTGAAGTATGTGACTGTTGTTCTAGTAATACATTTTTTATTCTATTACCAAAATTATTGGTCCAGGACAGATGGAAATTAGAAACAAACCAGTCCTTCACTACAGAGTTTAAGAAGCCCTGTCTTGGAACACACTGTATAAAACATGGTATACAGTAATATCCTAGGATCGGCTATCAGCCAAGCATTTGGTATCAACTTATATCCATTTTCCTGATTTAATGACACAAAGGACTTTACAACATCTAAAGTGCTGATTAAGCTATGTCGAAGTCTGCCAAGACTTTATCTGGGAATAGGCAGGCACAGACATATTGGCCTGGGAGATATTTATAAAGCCAGATAGATTGATTATAATACAACTTTTTAGATGGACCTGGACTCAGAGGAAACAGTTCAAGTCCCAGCTCTGTAGCAGCTGACAGATGTGTGATCTTGGGCAAGACCCTCATCTACCTTGAGCCTAGGTTTGCCCAGCTGCAAAACAGAGGACAGTGGCCTTCTTTCCTCACAGGATTGTAATAAGCATTAAATAAGGTAATAAATGTTGGAGTGATTATTAAAAATATAAACCCTCAAGGAGTATTCTAGCTGTCTGCAAGTATAAATATCTCTTTAGTCAAGATGCAAGTACAAATATTACATTTGTATGGTAGACTGGAATATTTGCTCTGTCTCTAGCCTGTGGTAGGAACTTAAACACATCACTTGATCTCTTTTTCTGGATCCTTTAAATGAGCAGGCTGTGTTCTAAGGCTCCTGCAGGCACAAAAGCCCTATAGCCCCATGAATCAATGAATTCATTGCTGCAGTGTCTTCTGATTTCGAGTCTATTAAAAAATTTCTGAGGTAACCATACTCTTTTAAAGTATACACCCACACTGCTGACTTTTCCACTATATCTTTTCTATCCTTATGGCTTCTCAGAAAGAGCAGGTACTGGCTCTGCAGGGACAACAGCCAGTCCTGTAAATAATTCAGATCCGTGTTCACCTGAATGAAGGTGATAAAACATAAACTCATGTTCCTCACAGTTGCTTCAACTTTTTGAGCTTATGAGTTTTAGAGATGAACACAGTTACAAACCAGCTCTTTCTGTACGTGGCCTGAGGTAACCTCTGAAAATGGTTCACTATTCACTTGACTCAGAAACCCCCACAAAATCATGCAAATCAAGAGGTTCAAAGATATGCGTATCCAAAAAGCCACTAAGTATCTGAAGGCTGTCACTTTACAAAAGCAATGTATGCCATTCATCGTTACAATGGTGGGGTTTGTGGGTGTCCCCAGGCCCAACAGTGGGGCTGGACGCAGGGTCGGTGGCCCAAAAAGAGTGTTGCATTTTTGCTGCACATGCTTCAAAATGCAGAGAGTAATGCTGAACTTAAGGGTTTAGATGTAGATTCTCTGGTCACTGAGCACATCCAGGTGAACAAAGCTCCCAGGATGCAGCGCAGAATTTACAGAGCTCGTGGGCGGATTAACCCCTACGTGAGCTCTCCTTGCCACATTGAGATGATCCTCACTGAAAAAGAGCAGACTGTACCCAAACCAGAATAAGAGGTTGCAGAGATGAAAACGCTTTCCCAGAAGAAACTGAAGAAATAAAAATGGCCCGGGAATAAATTCCTGAGAGTAAATTCAGCATCAAATAAATGCTAATAAAAGTAAAACGAAACAAAGCAAAACAAAACAAAAACAGTTACAGCCACCATCCCACAGATCCTGCAATGAAGCATTTGCTCTTCTAGGACTCCAAGCCATTAAACAATAGGTACTTTATATGTTTACTGAGTTTCTACTTTTTAAAATTAAATTGTAGGACAATTTAACTTGTTTCCTGATGTTCTTGGTCTATTTATCCCAGAGTCGGAAAGAACTGTGGATTAGAGTAAAGCTGTCTTCTTGCGGGCAGTAGAGCTATGTACGTTTCAGTGTGTACTTGCTGAAAGTATACTGAAGGTCCAGGGATATTCAGAGTGTACCCCATATTTCTGGTCTACGAGAGAGGAAGGCTCTGCATAAAGCGTTGCACTAGTTGTCAGAAGTTTTGAATTCTGGTTCTGGCTCTGTTATTAATTAGCTGAATGACCAGATTAAATCCTTTAACCAAACTGAATCGAGGTTCCTTAATTATATGAGGAAAGGATTGGACTAAATAACTTACAGTCCCTTCTCGGTGCAGCTCTATGACTGGATGTGTGCGAATAGTTTTCAATATCACTCCAGGGCAGGCGGCAGGCGGTACAGACCCTGTCCAGGACGCCTGGCTTCTATATCATAAATGGGCACCTGAAGAAGTGTGTGAACTATTTACACTAAGAGTAACTGGGCCACTTTTCTAGTCCACACCCCCTCTTTTGTCGGACTATCTATGTACCATGCCTCCATCTCAGTCACTGGCAGGCAGAGATGGGAGGGCGTGACTGGGGAGAGAAGGTTTTTGTGGCAGAGTACCTTCAGATGAGGTAGGAAGGGGAACAAGACCTCTGTGCTTAAGTCACCAGTATTATCAGGTAAGATTGAAAAGTTGGACTTTATAAATTGAGTTATTCTCAGACATAATTCATAAAGGTCCTTTAGAAAATTCTGGCTTACGTTACACGAAGGAAGAACATGGAGAAGTATGTATTTGGGGGTGGGTACCCATACAGACAAGGATAATCAAGGGTTGGCACACTTTAGGAAGCTGAGGGAATAAGATGGAAGTGGAGCCAAATGAACGGCAAACCCTGTGTCTGTCACTTTAGAGACATTATTTAATTTTGGCAACAGCTCTGCGAGGTGTCGAATTTAATAGGCTGAAGGAAATTTAGGAACTTCACCTGAGGAGAGAGAAGACAGTTTGGGCCTCAAAGTCTGGATAGAGAACCCTGGAGAGACAGTGTGAAGGGACAGAGGGGCTGGGGAAGAACCAGGCCTGGATGATTCAAACCAGGTTTATTTGGTAGCCTGACTCTAATGAATTGAGGAGTGAGACTATGCCTACAGCTTCCCCGTTCAAGAACCTGTGAGTCCTTACATGATGGCCAAGTGTTTTCTCCCTCCAGACAACTGCCCGAATGTCTCCTGTCCTAACATGATTGCAGGGGAGGTAGGCAGGGAGCAGTAAAGGGAAGGGCTGAGATTTCCAGGGCGCCATTAAACCTCCTTGCCAACTAAAGATAGTGTGGCATTTTCATAGGGGCTTGCTAGGGACCCAATGTCTTTACCCTAAAGGCCAATGCCAGTGCTGAAAACTGTAACCTGCAGGGCCATATATTCTTGAGTAGTAAGCCTGTGATGTCCCAAGTCACACAGGGGAGGCCCGGCCTGGATTTGGAAGACGAAGGTCCAGGCAGCTGCTAAGGTCCTCAGCTCCTTTGCTGCTCCAGTGCCTCTGAGAGCTGGTGGGGTGTACCCTGAAATCCTATCCAGATTCCTGAGGGGCTTTGCAGGGACATCTTGCACATCCTGCTCAGGGAGACTTGGGGCTTCAGGGGGAGGGAAAGAAGGATAAAAAAACAGCTAGGCCCAAATAGGCAGATATATAGGGACAGAAAGTAGGTTGGTGGTTACCTATGGCTGAGTTGGTGGTGGGGAGAAATGAGAGTGACTGCTAATGGGTACAGGGTTCTTTTCTGGGGAGGTGATGAAAATGTTCTAAAAATGATTGTAGTACTAGTCACACAGCTCTGTAACTACCAAAACCCAGGAAATTATACACTTTCAATGAGTAGGTTGTATGGCATATACGTTATATCTCAACAAAACTGTTTAAAAGAGAAGGAACTGGGCCTCACGTGGGGTGAGCCCTCTGTGCTTATCCTTCTAAGTCTCCCACCCCCATCTGCCACAGAGAAGGATTCTCTTCTGGACTGTGGCAAGGACAAGAGGGGGTCGGCTGTTTATGTCTATTGAGCCACAAAAGACCCTCTCTTGACAGCTGAAGGTACTTTTCAAAGTAAATTCTATATAGGACAATATACTTATGGAGGAGCAAGTGTGCAAATAAAACAGATTCCAAGTAAGACAGATAGGGGTTGGGAGAGATGTAAAGGCAGAATTATGGAGGTGACCATAGCGGGTCCGCTCCTGAGCCTGTTTTACTGGTCAGTATCCACACTGTGGAGATGGATGGGCCACAACAGCTTCACGACTAGTGCTCAGACTCCAGGAGTCCCAGGTCATTATGTTTTCTGCTCTGCCTTGGATTATTTTGCTGTACTGTGCATATTTTTATGAGCCAGGCTCCCAATTGTTTTTGGAATGAGGCAGCTATTAAGAAGTAAATTTAGAGGGCACAGCACAATGTGTAATTTGAAAATCTACTCCACTGAGTTCTAATGGATATGGCCAAGGGCAGCCTTTGCACAGGAAGCAAACTCCTACACAGATTGTCTGGAAACTGTAATGCTCGGCAGAGGGAGGTGGAGCCAACACAGCCTGCAGGACATGAGTGAGCTCTGCTGTGTCCATGAGTTTGCGGGCAGCCAGAGCACCTGTGGAAACTCTTCTGGGCGTGCACATGAAAGGCCTAATAAAATCGTGGAAAGAGCAGACATTTCTAGTCAGGAGTGATCACTGTGACCCACCCCCTGAATCTTGCCTTACAGTGCTTAAAACACTCTGTTAAACCTTCCTATGTAAGCCCCACAAAACTCAGGTGAGGTAGAAATGGGTATTATTTCTCTTTCTGTAGATGAAGAAACAATGTCAGAGAGGGCACACAGCTGGTTAGTGGGGGCAGCCTATTTGGTAGCCTGACTCTAATGAATTGAGGAGGGAGACTATGCCTACAGCTTCCTCGTTCAAGGATCTTGTGAGTCCTTACAGGATGGCCAAGTGTTTTCTCCCTCCAGACAACTGCCCGAATGTCTCCTGTCCTAACATGATTGCAGGGGAGGTAGGCAGTGAGCAGTAAAGGGAAGGGCTGAGATTTCCAGGGCGCCGTTAAACCTCTTTGCCAACTAAAGATAGTGCGGCATTTTCATAGGGGCTTGCTAGGGACCCAATATCTTTACCAAATCCAGTGTGCCCTGGAGGCAGATGTCAGAACGGTGGAGACATCATAAAAACTTACCCCAGGATGGGGAAGTCGGCAGGAGCAGCTAATGAAGGGAGCCCAGGGGCCCACAGCCATGGTCAGCAGAGCAGAAGAAGTTGGCCAGCCTGGCAGAAGGCCACTTATCAGCCAGATATGCCTCACTGTGGCTGACGGAATTGAGGTGGCCCATCCAGGAAAGTGGGCTGCACGGAAGTTGAAATGGAGGAAGGTCAGGCAGCATAGGGAACAGGACACTCATGCTGGCCTGGGAGAGAGACAGGGGTGAGTCTACCATCAGTAGGAATACTGGGGAGCATGAGACAGCTGTTTCCATGTAGATATCGGCTTTGAGAGGAAGCTGAAGAGAACTGAGATGACCCAATGGAAAAGGAAAGATGTGAAGCAGTGGGCTAAAGCCAGGAGGGGTCTGCTCTATCCAATTCAGGTTAGAAAAGTCACCCAAACCTCTCACAATTCCACCTATTGACTTCTCTAATGGAGCTGACCAGGACAGAGGCCTGCCTTCCCATGCATCTGCTGCCTGGAGTCCTTCTGGAGTCAGCATATAAAATATTTCCATCAAC